AAGCATATTGCACACCGTTCTATACTGCGCACTTGTGGTCAAATTATAGAAAGTCAAGTCTATTGAAATTCAAAGTAGCATATAACGACGCAATGAGAATATTACTCACAAGACCAAGATGGTGTAGTGCAAGTGAGATATTTGTAAGGAAGGAAGGAAATACCTTTCATGCTGTTTTAAGAAACCTAATGTTTAAATTCATGGGCCAGCTTAATGGGTCACACAATTAAATAATATTGGGCTTAACTAACATACAGCTAAGCGCTACATGCTACCAATCCTGTATGTGGAAACACTTGTATAATTGTCTCCTGGTAGAACAATGATTTTCTTTTTAAATAATTGTACACTTTTCATTTTTCTAACCATGATTTACTATGGTATTTTTTTATGTGTATTTATGCGTGTGTATATATGTATGTGCATTTGTGGATGTACTGGTGTGGGTAAGATTTGTACCTTGAGTCTGTAATAAAGTTTTTGATTGATTGATTGATTGATTGATACGAAATATCAGTAAGGTATGAAGGTATGAAAAAACAGGTATCGCCCAAGCCTAAAAGAAAGGAGTAACAATGATAAGTATGTTGTTTGACAGATCAAAAGGTCATGAGGACATTTATTTGGCCCTACTCCCAGGACTACAGTGAGGGAGTGGTGGGGTGAAATCTTATGACATTAAATGTGTGGGCAGTCTTCCTCTGAGCCTAATCATTACTTCATAAAGACTCAAGCTTTCTGATAAAAGTATGTTTGGCAGGAATGATTTTAATATAATTTGAGGGCAATTTCAACAACATGAGAAGACCAACTTTTGTCTTTGTTAGCAGAAAAATTGATGGTGTAATAACTTTAAAATAATAAAATAATGTAACAATACAATAGAATGAAAATGTTATTTACTAGTTATTATTTTTATGTTGAATTCAATTATTGTAAACGACAAAAGAAACTGCTCTGTGATAGCGTGAGAAAAGAGAATACACACACGCGGGTTTAATCAGATCTGCATAGCTGTTTATTAAATATGACAAAATATGATGACAGTAAACTGTCTTGTTTAGGTTTCACTTCCTGATTCCTGCAGCAAGGTTGTTTTTCTCATACAAGAACCTGTTTTTTTCTCACTAAGGGCCCTATCTTGCACCCGGTGTTATTGCTTGTTTCCAACGGACGCGGCTGTCATTTTCACGCCAGGCGCCCACGTCGTTTAAATAGCAAATGCACTTGCGCCCATCTGTACGCCCAGGGTTGGGAGGATTACTTTAAAATTGTAATCCAGTACAATTACTAATTACTTGTTAAAATTTTCTTATCAGTAATGTAATCCGTAGTATCACAAAATAACAGTAAAGCAACCTGATTACTTTTAGATACTTTTGGATTACTTTAATACCAAATACGCTGATAAAGACAAGAAAGGATCAAAGATGCCTTGTCTGCTCAGTGGATTTTTACAGAAACATACAATTATGTGGAGCGGGTGATTAAAACTGCCCAGAAGACCACTGGTGCCCATCTCCCGAGCATCAGTGACATCGGTGAGGTGAGGTGCCTGCAGAGCCCACAGGATACTAAAGGACAGTACCCACCCAGGCTCTTAAAATCTACATCATCCTAAACCTTGCACTGGGCCTTAAGTCATATGGCTTTTTAGAGTGTGTCATTTCCTGGAAAACGATCAATCCTCCTGCACTCGGGGGCTGTACTAATTTAGTGACCAATGAAAACCTTTCTTAATTTTCTTTGACTCTGCTGAAAATTAGTGTTTCTGGGACCGGGCCCCACAGATTACTGAACAAAAAACACAACTTTATTCACTGTCAACACCAATCAGCTACTGGCTACATGACAATCAACGTCTGCCACAAATCCCTCACTAGCTTTGTGTTTTTACAGGAAACAGGTAAATAGCAAATAGCACTCCGCTTTCTGTTTCATTGAAACTTTGTGATTAAAGTAATGTGTACTCCCCAGTTTTACAGAATGTAGGCCCTGCCTGTCTGAATTGGAGTCTTGTTTTTCTGTACTGTACTGAACCGTTACTTTATTTTTGTATCCTGATTATGTAACGCCATTATATGTAATTGGTTACTTCCCAAACCTGTGTACACACATAGGAGTGTTGGCCTTAAAATGGGGTGTGGCCGGGCAAATTTGTGGCGCATTGCGATCTTGAGGCAGCAGAAAGAAATTTTGCCATTGACAAAAAAAACAAAATAACAGGTCTAAAGTCAATGATGCAGTGTTTCACTGTTTGTTGTTATTTTAGGGGTGTGTTACTCTGGACACGCTGACTGAATCGGTCCGATCTGATGTTAATTCATGTTCTGTGTTCTTCTAAACATACACAAGGTGTCACATAGTTCAGGTTCATACAGTGAAGCTGGAGTAAAGCAGCTGTCCTCCGGATCAAACCTGAGCTCCAGCAGATAGTTTAAATGATTTCAGAAGCTAAAAGTTGAATTCTCTGCTCTGTGGAGAGTTTCCTCTGTCTTGTAATTTCACGTTTATAACCTTTCTCATTACCCAAATTTGTGGTGCAGTGGTTAGCACTGTCGCCTTTCAGCAAGAAGGTCGTGTGTTTGAACCTTGGTGTTTCCGGGCCTTTCTGTGTGGAGTTTGTGTTCTCCCCGTGTCTGTGTGGGTTTGTCAAGGAAAATGTGTCCTTCCCGAAGAATACGGAGTCAAATAGATGTGATGAATCATTCTTTATGTAACGCGGCCACGGAGAGAAAGCACGGTTTCTCTCCCGAAATTGATTCTCCCTTTCCTTATATACACTGCAGTACAAGTTGAGACAAATGGTTGACAAGGAAACAAATGGCAGATCACATCTAGAGTATTAGCATACACTCAAAAGCTCTTCCTGGGCTGATAAAAGAATGCAAATGTATGTGGCATCAGAGTTGTCCCCTTAGTCGAGTCGAGGAGGAGAAGCGGGGAGAGAGGAGTCGATAAAATAGGTGCTTAACGAAATCAGATGTCCTTTCCTCGGAGCCGTCATTTTAAAGCAACGTCAATTAAATATGACCTGTTGCACAGCTGCATCATCTGTCCACTGTTAGACCTGTGATCTCTGTCAGAGCAGCAGAGCAGCTTTTGGCACTAAAGGCGACAGATCATATCTTCACCATCCAGAAACATGTCTGATAACATTATAACACATAGAAAAATCCAATAAACATTATAGCATCTGTTGAAAACGGCCGCAGATTACTGTAGGCAACTTTCATGCACTACCCAGAAATACAGTTGCTTTTTGGGGGGGTGCGCCTTTTGCCTGTAATTAGGAGATCATTTCAGCTCTCAGCTTGATGAGGTGAGCGTTTCATCATCAGTCCCTGTAAGAAATCACACTGTAACATTTATCTCATATAGCCCCAATTAAAACTGTCATCACAGGACTCTGCAGTTGGAGTGACGTGTAGACTACATGGGTTTATTATTATAACATGAAACACAGCCTGGTTGATATCACAGCCTAATAATTTGACTTACGTTGAGTGCACTCGTTTTGTGACGATAATAGAAGCTGAATTGGTGTGATGCACGGATCGATTTCATCACATTAGGCTAATTACTGTTATTGCATTGTAGCTCTTTGCTCATGTACAGCCTAGCCTGTATATAGGCAACATAAACAAGAACCCATACCCTAAACTCAACAGGAAGTGCAATTTTAACCCATTTTTCACGTTCACAGGGTGCATACTTTAACCTACTCCCCCACAGAATTAATGCGATTAACTTGCTTTTTCTACTGTGCATTCTAAAGGCACTGACAATGAAAAGCTGCACTATCTGTGGGTTTTCAGCGATGGGTGTGTCCGCAACACGGTGTCAAAGATTGACGGTTAGCCATCAAAGCTATTATAACTTCACTGTACATGCTCACATCTGTACCAAACTTTACATGATTGATTACGGTCCCGTCCTGAAAACATCTACGTCATAGCGCCACCCATTCGTAACAGGAAGATTTTTGTTTTGTTTTTCATTTTTGGACATAACCTGCTATAGTACATTTCTTTACAAAAAGACAGCAACAGGTGAATAAAGCTGTACTGAAAAGAATGTAGCTTAATGAGGAGTTTAGATGGTGATTTTGATGTTTCTCTCCATGATAATTCTGGGTTGTTAATCTCCCATGCTTTTTCTACATGAAAGTTTCACATGGTTTGCCTCAATTACAATATTTTTACTGTGTATATGTAGATATGAGTCAATACTGTGACCCTTGACGAGCAATGCAACATTGGAAAGTATAAAAAGTCAAGCAACATAAATAAACAACACATCACAGCAATGAGAGGCAAAATGATAACACATGTTTAAAATATATAACTTGTTATTTATGCTGAAAAACCTAAAAAATAAGACTACTAGCAGTTGACAACACTCCTGCCGAAGAGGGCCCCTGAGAGGAGATGACACAACCGACCCCAGGCCCAAGGACACGCCACCCCTCTCTGATATGAGCAGAAGCTCAAGGCCCGAGGCCCCAGGACCCCGGATCCAGAGCAAGCCCCCATGCCCAACCCAAGGCAGAATGCTTTCAGCACTGTCAGGGCAGTATGATGAATGTAGGGATGGTGTGTGAAAAAATGCATGTTCATGTTCATGTTCATGTTCATGTTCATGTTATGCAGACTGGGTCCAAGGTGGGCCCTGGGAGGTCACAAACTCCAAATCCCCTTCCCGCACCCCCCCTGCTTGCTCCACTAAAGCAACTTGGGTTGAGTTAAGAAGGAAATTCATGATGTAATAACTTTAAAATAATCAAATTATGTAACAATACAACAGAATAAAAATGTTTTTGTATTATATACATTTTTTGTAAATGACAAAAGACACTGCTGTGTGTTATGTAACATGAGACAAAGGAGGAGACGCACACAGCACAGGTCAGGGTTGACCAGATCTGCAAACCTGCCCATCAATGCATAAGAAGAATATAATGACTGTCAGGTTTAGCTTTTACTTCCTGACTCCAGCTGCATAGTTGTCATTGTTGTACAACAGCCTGTTTTTCTGCACTGAATCTTAAACACACCCTTTTCTTCAGTATTTAATAAGACAACCGATAAACATCAAACAAGTACTGAGCTTCTGTACAAGCACAGTGTAACTGACAGTCAGAGGCGTCTGACATCTTGTATTTTTAAGCAGAAGGAGGTTAAAGAGACACTGGTAAGTAGAATCAATAACCATACCTTATTCTGCAGGGAAGGTTCTTGCTAATACTGACAACATATTCACATATAACCTCAAGTGGAGTTGATTTACAGATCTTAGTGAGAATTGATTAACATGTTTGTTTTCAAATGTGTTTTTTTCAAAGGTCTAACTCATGGATTATGGGGTGATCATCATTGTGCTCACAGGTTGGTGCCTCATTTTTGATTTTTCTGCTGTTTGTCTGTGCTAGATAACAAGCTCTGATGTATCTGGCTTACTGTCAAGGTGGACAGCAGACAAGCCAGTTTCTGATAATCCAAAAGATTCCTCTTTTTTGCCCCCATCCATCCCACAAGATGGCCAATCAACAACAATGATCTTTCGAATTAAGGGGAAAATCCAGGGTAAACACTTTGATAAGTAATATTGGTCAGAGCAAGCAATGCTATTTTAATTAAATATATGAATACATGATTCTGCAGATGCTCATGTCTAAACAAAGGCAGCATTATCTAATCAATGTCAGGCTCAGAGAGTTATAAGGGCAGAATTAATTCAATTAGGGTCCCTCTCCTCTGGGATTGAGTCATTGTTCTTTATTATGATAGAATCAGCATATTGTAGGTTATTAAGCATACCTCACTCAGTTGTGCATATGCAGTAAGTAATTTTGCAACAAACTGAGATAAACAGTACAATGTATAAGAAAATTATTATTAAAAATTTTTAAAAAATTGTTAATAGTTGAGTAGGTTTTAATTTTTATTGTCAGTAAACGCATAATCTGAGGTAGGCTGAAACTTAATCTGACTCAAACTGATAGACAAAGTTTTAAAGTGGTCATATTATGCTCATTTTCAGGTTCATGATTTTATTTAGAGGTTGTACCAGAACAGGTTTACATGATTTAATTTTCAAAAAACACCATATTTTTGCCATACTGCACATTGCTGCAGCTCCTCTTTTCACCCAATGTGTTGAACGCTCCATTTTAGCTATGGAGTGAAGCATCTCACTTCTAAAAGATCTTTGTTGGGAGTTGCACATGCACAGTATGTAGTATCTAGTAGGACTACTAGCCAATCAGAAGCAAATTAGTAGTAGTAAACACGGCTTCGGTTCAGCTGTATATGTTCCTCTGACCACTTAACAAAATGGACTGGAGCAAGAGTTTCAGAGTGGTGAGTTATTAATTTGTAACAAATGTATCTTTCATTCATAAAGTTTTAACTGAGCTCTGTCTCTACATAACAGTAACAATTTTATGACCATTGAGTGCCTGGAGGGTTGCTAGTGTTTGGAAAAGACATCTTGTCACTGTGTGCCGCAGCTCAGTGTGTTTTTCCACCTGTGTTTTTGAGAGCGTGTCTGACTAGTTGCTAGGCGAGCATTATGACGCGTGATTTTCGTGTGTCATCACAAAAAAGCGGAAGAAAAGGCTAGACCACAAACGAGCTGTTTTCAGGCAGTTCAGAGCAGAGTTTTCTGTGGGAGATGGGAACTAACTTTGGGCTTTTTCACTTTGTGAACCTATTACATGCACAAAAAGGTATATAACTCAATAAAGGAGAGGGGAAAAGCCAAAAAGCATAAAATGACCTCTTTAAGCCACAAAACATTAAATTTGGCTTGGCTTTTTGGTTCAATTTCAGAGGATTTTTAATTGTTTCCATGCTTTGTAGTCATGCAAGCATTGAAAAATTAGGAAAATGTATTGTAAAACTCAACACAGTACAGCTGAACCCACCCGGTGTATAGTGCCTCTTCGTGTTCACTGTAAAAGAGTCTTCATGCTTTATAAAAATAAAAGTAATTAAAAACTGATTTTGCTTTGTTTTAGGAGCACTGGTCAATGTTGCCTCTGCCCAAACTCGTCAGTACTACTTTGAGAGTACACCACTGAACTGGACTGAAGCTCAGAGCTTTGCAGACAGTCTACACTGACCTGGCCACCATAGAAAACACAACTGATGTCAGTGCTGTACTCAGGACCACACCAAGCTACACAGGCAAGTTCTCAATATTGGAGTCATTTACTGTGTATGTGTATGTATGTAACATAAGCATAATATATATATAATCCTATACACACACAGCCAGGCAACAACCAAGTTTTTGATGAGGTTACTAAATATTAGATAAAATAATAAAATATTGTACTGTGGAATCTGAAAGAGCAACAATGAAAAATAGAGGAGACACATCATTTAAGGGATGTTTAGTAAAATTATTCACATTTTAGGTCAATTCAGCAACTATTTTAATTACAGCTGTTGTATAATGAACATCTGTTTGTACAGGCAAGGCTTGGATAGGCCTCTATGATGACAACTGGAGATGGTCTCTGAGTAACAGCAGCTTCTATGGTAAAGGAGAGACAGAGTTTAGAAACTGGGCTCCTGGATATCCCTACAATCCTTATGGACAACAGAACTGTGTGGTGCTTCGCAGTCAGTACTATTACACTGGGATGTGGCAATCCTACTATTGCACCTACCAATTACGCTTTGTGTGCTACAATGGTGAGTTCCTTATTTAAAAACATCTCACCTCTTGTATCAAGGTGACATGAGCAATATTTTATCCACTGAATCAAGTTCTTCAATATTTGGATGTAATTTCTTTCATTTACATTTACTCATTTGTCAGATGCTTTTGTCTAAAGTGACTTACATTTGAGGAACAACAGTAGGAGATATATGGGTGACAATGGATACTAGTGAGAGCAGCAATAACTAGAAAATTGCATTTCCTACGGAAAGTGCGTGTAAATGCTGAAGCTGAAATTAATTTTCAGAACACTGTGTCAGAAAACTATAACAAAAAAAAAATCAGAAAGTGTAATAATGCTGAAAGCTAAACTGAAATTACATAACACTGCAAAATCAAATGCTGAAAGAAGCCAAAATGCACTGAAAAGCTGAACGCCTCTTGTTTTACTATCAGGAAAGTATATTAATAAGAAAACAATATGGAGTATAACAATGCTGAAAGCTGAACTGAACTTGCAAAATACTGTGGAAAATTTACAACAGCTGAAATTAAGTATCTTTTCTTAAGAAGCTATGTGTCACAACCTGCAATGAAAAGTTGTGTGTTGTTTGTGTAGACCCTGCAGGGATACATCTAGGCAAGAACGTGTTTCTCCTTACTGGATGGTCGGGCTTTATTTTCAAAGAATAGGTCCATCCCTACTTTCCTGTAAACATATAGTAACCATAAGGGTCTTTTATTTTGTAAAATCAGTCTCACCTTATCTTTCCTGTTAAGATGCAGTAACTGTCTGGGCTTTAATTTGGAAGAAATTAGATCCTTACATCCCTGTTTAGAAGGAGAGGATGGTGCAGTGGAGAAGACATATGCCTTTGGTGTGGGAGACCTGGGTTTAATTCCCATTGCAACACATTTGCCAATGTGTCCCTGAGAAAGACACTTAACCCCTTGTTGCAACCTCTGACACATATAGCAAATGTGAGTGACTTTGAATAAAAGCGTCAGCTTCATGACTGACAATTTATTTATTTATAAGATAGCCTACAGTTACTGCCTGCAGACTGTTTGAAGCCTTATTTTGGAAGGAATTAGGTCCATACTGAGTTTGAGTTGGTATTGAAACTGTTTCTCTTCTGAAATGGTTTCAGGAGCAGTAGAAATGAAGTTGAAGGGGAGACAGACACACAGACGGAGATACAGGCAGTCAGACAGAGACAAACAGACAGAGAGAGACAGACAGGAACATAGAGAGACAGGAACAGAGAGGGAGACGGACAGACAGATAGACAGACAGTAGCTGTAGCAGTACTGTCAGTAAAAATCCCACCAAAGAAGATAAAACCAGTTTGTGTGTTTGTATTTGTGTATATTCATGTATTAGAAAGCACCTTAACCTCCTGCAGAGATTCTATCAGACCTGGGCCCTGACAATAAATACAGCAAAGACTAAAATAAGGATTTTCAAACAATCCAGAAATCAGGTTAACACACAATTACAACTCCTTCTGACAGGATGAATTAGTTAAATACATCCCCATACGTTACCTCTGGCCACGTTTTCTTATCAGCTACTCATTTTAACAATGACAATGGATGGGACATGAGACAATCCGATCGTATGTGGTTTTCTCCATTCTCCCAATTTAATTTCGACATTTTGATTTTGATTTTGAAGTATAGCGAGCAACATATAATGTTCTAACTAACAAACTAGCTACTGGATTTTTCATGTCAGTTTAGTGGAAGTCAGATGACAAAATGCGGAAGAGCGAAACATAAAAAGTGGGCGGGGCGGGAAATTAAGTGAATAAGCCCATGTGAGGACCAGAACAAGATTTACTACATTTCAGGTTTAAGATGATGCACAAAGAATTAAAACTGTGGTAAAACCAACGACTTAAAGAAAAAATTGATAAAAATGACTTGTCAAGGCTGTTACTATCTGTGTAACATCAATGACAGAGTGTAACAGATTTTTCTTTATTCTCTCTGCTGCCAGACTGACAGAAATAATAAAACCTTCTTTTCTCCTTTTCTCCTCCTCTGACCTTGCTCTGTGTGTATGTGTGTAATGTGTTTGTCAGTGTATTAATGTGTGTCTGTACGTCTCAGTATAATGAAGTCCAAAGCAGCAGAATGCATTTCTGAACTAGCTGGTATTTCGTTGTATGGATAAAGTTAAAAAAGTGATCTTTTCAGCTAGTTAAAAATTGGTACATTCTGCAGCTGACAAGAAATTTCAATGAGAATTTATAATGGCTGGCAGTGGAGGAATTGCCGGTCACTCTTGTCCTTGAGAAGGGCACAGAGCCAAATCTCCGATGTCCGATGAAAAGTCCGATGGATTTAGAAAGCCCATGTGAGGAACCAGAACAAGATTGTCTACATTTCTGGCGTAAAATGATGCATGAAGAGTTAAAATTGTGGTCAAGTCAGTGAGTCAGTTAGATAAGATTGTGGTTTCCAATGGCTGCTCTGGATGAGCATCACTCTCTAGTGATGTCACGCACCTTAACTCATCTCTGGCAAGAGCTATTAGCACATTAAACATCAATGGGGTAAATACCTGTGGAAAGAAGTAAGAGCATATGAGTAGTGCAATCAATACAAGAGAATTGTAATGAGATCAAAGAAGAAGAGCACAGGATGTGTATGTTAGAGGTGTTACATTGCATACATTGTAGCAAAGTCAGTATTGTTTACAAGTCCATCTTCACAGTTTTAATAACATCTCTTCATCAATATATTTCCAGGTTCAGTAAATGGCACATCCTCTTTTGTAAAGGTCAACAGAACTTTGAATTGGACCGAAGCTCAGAGATACTGCAGGGAGAATTACGTCGATCTAGCCAGGTACAGTGTGCACTGATGAAGACTCCAACACATACAATAGTTCAGTACTGAACCAACTACTTAACAACTACTATCTGTTCTGTGATGAAATCCAGCTTATTCAGTATTCTCACACTTGATTAAATTCCACATGGATTGAAAAATCTGTCAAATAGTTTTATTTGATTCTTTTTGTCGTTTGAATCCTTCCCCTTCTGTGTTTGTTCATTTGTTGTTATTATTTTTTAATTGCTTTGCTTCTAAGTAAAACATTTTCAAGTGTAAGGCCCTTGGGGCTAAGCCACGTAGTATGATGATCATTGTGATGATTACAAGCAGGATTGACAGAAAAATAGCACCAATAGGATACCTTAATTGTAAGGTGATTATGTTGCACTGATTTTGAGATGTTTACCAACCTCATCGGTAAATAATCACATATAATTGTAACCGAAGCAAGTGGTGAGGGGTTCAAATCCCCAAACAGCTAATTGTTGCCATAGGTTCCCCAAGTACAGAGACATGGTACAGAGTTTCCACTGAAAGGGTGATTGATTAAACATCAATATTAAAAATCAGATTTTGGGCACTTCTATTCATTATACAAGACTCAAGTAATACTAAACAGGACAAGATGTTTATGCCAACGGTGCCATGGATGCCAAAGGATAAAAGCAAAACTGTTGACACACCTGAGCATCTACATATGCCAGACATGCAATACCTAAGGGCTAACAGGTGATACACTGGTGCACCGCCACCTAAACACAGTAAATTACACACATTAAACAAAACCACACAATAGGCAGAGTTGAACGTGTGCACACAGCTCTAACAGACGCACCATCACATGCAGTAAAGGGGAAACTGCATTGCAGAACTACTAGGTAGCATCTTTCTACCTCAGGGTATCAACTTCCAATGCCATCCCTGCGGTGAACTCTCGCATTTAAGCAGTTCCTGCAGTCCACAGGGTCTGGGCGACAGGTGTAAAATACCTGTAATAAAAACTGTAAAAAACAACAAAAAAAGGAGTTCACAAAAGTTAACAAAGTCAGCCACAATGCATACCTTCCAGGAGACTAACCTGCTGCTAAGCCACACTATAATCAAGGCTACGTTCACACCTCATGGCCGATGTGCTAGCAGGTAGGGTTAGCCTCCTTTGTGTTGCAACACTAAAGCAAACTGCAGCGCAAAATCGCCGTTTTGCGTACAATAGCCATGGTTTTGTCAAAGCGTGTATGATGCCTGAGATGAGAACGGGTTGCATTTTAATCTCCGAATTCCTCTGCATCTTTGCTCCATTGATCTTCTGGTTTAACACTTCCCCGTATCAAGTGTTTCACTGGCCAATATCAATTGTTTCAATTGGTCAAATGGTGAGTCTGCAGTGATATTCAGTGTCTTGCTATAACTTGTACAATTGCACAACATTTTCTTTTTTGCTCAGTGTTGGATCAGATTTTACCAAAGTAATTGACAACACACCCAAAATCAGTAGAATGATGTGTGAGTTTTTTCAGAATTTTCTCAACATTTTGACTGTTGTAAGCGTTTTAAGTTTAAACTGAAAAAAATATCCGGATGTGGAGCATGTGACGTCACTACCTAAACTTGTGAGAAGGTGTGTGGAAGCAGCCTCTCACCACTAGCTCAGTCACAAAGTCACCTACTCTGGAGATTTTGAAGTTCCAGGGTTAACAATCTCTGATCTCAAGGTCATGCTGTAAAAATCAAGTGTGCGTTTCCTCAGTTATCTCTAAGGCCCAATTCTTTCATCACTTTAATCTCTTAAGTCAAATTATGGGCAGAACTGATATACTGTATAGAGCATATGGCGGTCAGCTGAAATGATGATAATAATAATATAAACCGAGGCTGTCTGTCCTATGACTTGTGATGTGCTGTGTTTACTGTAGGTAAATTTTCTCGAGGCTGTTACAGGGGAACTTGTGGGTTCTAATAATTTTTATTAATATAAAGGGAAAGGCAAAATTCAGGTGGCAGGTGACAATTCCAAATATAATAGAATTAGTGCTGGGTAACGAATACAATTTTTAATCGCGATTAATCGCATTGTTACTTGCAAAATTGAATAATGTATTCTAAAGTAGTGTATTGTGCACTTTTAAATTTAAATACACAAAAGTGCAGTAACGTGTTTTATTAACACTTTAAACAAATAAAAGTAAATAAATTTGGAGCTACTCCAAATTCCTCTTTTCCTCTCCCAGAGAGGAGCAGGGGGGTTAAAGATCAACTTGCAACAGACTGCTGAAGAGACCCCAACGGAAGGGGGATGGAAGTTCCTTTCTCTAAGTGCTATTCATGAGCAGTTGATCGTGAAACTGGCACCTTTTTGATTCCGAAGCTGATAACGCGGTGCCTGACTGTTAAACTGACAAAATGGAAATTAACCAGAGATTACAAACAGCCTATCGGAACTCTCCTCGGATGGGGCAGGAAATCCTAAACTGCCCCCCCCCCCCCCACACACACACACACATGTAACCGTGGCAACTGACCTTTCTCTGTGTTTCTAAATTCCCCAGTTCCCAAGGAAAGATTGTTTTGGATTAATTGAAGCTTTCCTCATGTAACCTCCCCCAAGTGGACGAAATAAGTATTACATACCATCATCGGAAAATATTTGATTATAATACGCGCAAGTAGATTTTCTTTTCTTTTAGACATTAAAGTTTAGAAAGGCAGTCCCTCGGGAAACCGGAAACGCCCCCTGGGGGAACCACACCCCAGACAACAAAAGAGCGACACGCGACATCGTTCGCTCTCTCTCTCTTGCAGTGGACAATTGGAGACGACCGCTTCACAAAATGTATCAAATTATTTAAAAGTAATTGAATGGGAATACTGTTTGTGCAGTAGGGATGAGAATCTCTTAGCACCTCACGACTATTTGATTACAAATCAGAGGGCGGTGATCCATTTTGATGCATCTTTTTTCTATGTGAGTTCTGGATAATTACTAAGCATTTAATTTGCACATTAAAATCCTAAAGAAACGTCTCCTCAATTGCTTAAAAGGACTAGTTTACATCCCTGATTTACTTTACTAGCCTCAGCTCCTACCAGTGTCCTTCCTTTAACTATCAGTTGTCAGACTCCTCTGTAAACTGAAATATAATTCAAATATCAGGATGTACAGTATGTGAACTGGACACCAGTTTAGCTTGAAACTGATGTTCTCATTCCTCGACAAGTTAGGTAGCAATGAGTAATTACAAATTTAGCTAACGTTACATTGCAGCCAAAAAATAGAAGAAAGTGCTTTACAGGGCAGATAAGATACAGACTTGAGGGACACACTGTGACCTTCACTGCACATGTTCTGCCAGATTGACAACTTACTAAGAAAATTAAATATTTTCCTTTCACCATCACGTTGTCCCCGTTCTGCACACATACTGGCTTTGCACACACAGGAAGCCAAAACAGCGATGAGTGTTGCTGCACGGTGTGCCGGTGAAAATCAAGTGTCGCGGTCACAATGATGTGCGTGTGAAATTTTAGTAGCGTGATCATTCTTCCGGCACATAGACTGTATATAAAGGTCCGGCAGCGGCGGAATGCGTCGAATACAGGGGCAACGCTGGTCTCAGACCAGTAGCAGAGATCACGGGTCTCTGTTATGTGCACACCTCCGACTGTCCGGGCGCTGCACTTCCGCAGTTCTGAAAGTTCCGCCATCATTATCAATCAGTATAGCGATGCAGACGTGGAAGATTCTGAATTGATTATGAATGAGAGAGGTGAGCAGCAGAACGTGACGGTGAAAGTTAGCAGAGGAAGTTACTTAGTAAGTTGTCAGTCTGGCAGAACCTGTGCAGTGTAGGTCACAGACTGTCTTAAGTATGTTGTTTCCGCAACGAAGTATATCCAGCTGCAGCCCGCAGACCTGATGGAAGTTGACGGAAGTTGAACTTCCATATGGTTTGTCCCAGAAGACACCGCACACAAAACGTGATGATGTATAACGGTTAATCTCGGCTCACGTACAGTATAGATCCTAATGTTAACCGTTTTATTCTTTAGAGGCCAACAACACAACTTTAAATAGACTTCTGAGTTATGAGGCGAGAAATCAACTGTGTAGATCGAATATCGGCAGTCTGACGAAAATTGTGTCTGTTGTGTCGCAACTGCTGAACGAGTATCAATGTTCGTAACGCTTCTGTCATTAAATTCTTAGTAATGTTGTAAAGTTTTAACCTACATCAAGATTCATCTGCCTGGTGATGTACAGAATATTCTTGGTTTGTGAAACTTAAAATATACAACAACAGTATGAATTGAAACATTGCTTTATTATTGTCATTACGCTATTATAAATAAATATTACAGTATTAATATACTATAATAATATTATAATTATAGTATTAAGTAAATATTAACGCATAATGTACACTGATTTTTTTTAACAGCTCTGCGTGGGACAAACGGTCGAGATAAACGTCATTACGTTTTGTGTACGGTGGCTTGTGGGACAAACCATATATGGAAGTTCAACTTCCGTCACGTTTGTCTGGTTTGTCTGTGGGCTGCAGCTGGACCCTTCTCTCCGCAACTGCTGAAAACGTGAAGGCGGTTGGTTCTAGCTAATGTGTCCCCCGTAAAGCACATTTTTTGGCTGCCATGTAGCTAAACTGATGTAGTGGACCAACCAGCCTCTCACCTCAAAAGGGAGGTGAGGTCAGATAATGCCAAAAAAGGGGGGGGGGGGGGGGGAGTTGGCCTTTTGACATGCAAAAACTAGAGACATCGCCTGGGGTTTGGTAAGGATCTGCAGAGACTCAATCAGACATGCGTCGCTTAAGGATTGTGTATTCAAAGAGCCTTAGTGAACCCCTCTCGCCGTAAAGGTGTCACTGGAGACACTTAGCAGGACAGCAAAGGGGCTGTCCAACCCCTCTCCCTCCACTGGTCACCTCCGGACATCAAAAATACCTCCCTCCTGATTCCTTTTCTCACAGAATGGCTGAGCCATAAAACACCACTCCCTTCTCTTCTTTTAGTGCAAATGTGATAAGCCAGGAATGCGATAGAGGGACACGAACAACCCCTGCCTTCTTGAGCCAACAAATGTTTCATTATAAACTGTGTTTTGTTCTGTTTAAATAATAATCCTTGCTAAGTTAGTAGTGGTGTTTGCCTCTTAGATTAGTAGTTATATTACCCTTTTGTTGTTGAAAAGAATCTAAACAAGTTAATTTTGCAGTGTTTTAATCCCTGACATTTCCTCATTTTATGTTGTAACCAATGCTTTGTTCCCAACACTTTCTGACAATTCCTTTAGAAATGATGATAAAGAAATGTCATCCTATACTACTCGATTAATTTTCAGGCTCAAATTTAATGTTAAATCTCTAAATTCCCCAGCTCCTGAGCGAAGGGTTGTTTAAAGAATAATCAAAGTTGAATATCTACTCTTCATGTAACCAGAGCTCTTCCAAGTGGACAAAATAAGTATTACATGCCATTGTTCTGAAATGCCGTTTTAATGTATAAATGTCACTCTGTATTTACCTGTTTGCCATTCGTGTATCTTGCTTATATTCTCTAAGTAAGAACAGGTAACCAATATTATCCAGGAAGCTAGTTAAGTTCCTCTCATCTGATGTGATTCCTATGAAATGCTAACCTTAAGGTTAATTACTGACAATTGTTTTCCTTTTTATCAAATGCTTAAAACTAAGAACGGTATAACCGTTTGACAATTAAGGTTTGATTGTGGGAAGATATTTGATTACAATATGCGCAAATAGATTTTTGAATAGACATATTAAAAGTTAAAAAGACAGTCTCTCAGGAAACCGGAAACATGCCCTCAGGGGAACAAAGGACTGCTCTCTGGAAACCACACCTCAACAAACAAAAGCAGCGACACATACGCGTTCGCTTGTTCTCTTGTCCTCTTACCCTCTTCACCTGCACTTCGGCACGCGCCCAGCGTGCTCCCTCTCCCGGCAACGCCCTAAGAAGTTCGACCCGGCACAGCGAAGGCTCTTTGTTCGTTTCAAGCCACACACACAAAGCGCCGCGACCTCAGCTTTCCCTCGTTTTCCAGCACCTTACTTTTTCTTTTCTTTTCTTTTGTTTGTTAAAAGTTATCAGACCGTTAAGTTACACCAGTTTAATTCAAGAACGACCGCGTTTTTAAGCTTTATTCGTCTTAACTTACACTGCTCCCACCGAAGCCCGGACCCAGCCACATGGGCCCGCCTTGCCAGCAGTAACCCAAAGGATATCCTCACTGCCAGACCGAGGACGGTCGCCACTGGAGTGTTTTTCTAAATTCAGACACGGAGAACCCCCGGAAAATTCCCTAGCAGAAAGCCAGGAATCGGGCAGATAGCGTGGGGACCCGTGCAAAAGGCCAAGGCAGGCTGACGACCGGCAAAACAAGGCATTCTGTGATCAGTGATGTCCAATAGTCTGAGTGACTCTGGGTGAATTAAATCTCTGGCGGTGCCCCGCGAAATGAGATCTGTATGAATTAATATTCTCTGAATATTAAAATTCATAATTTGTATTAATCCTCATAAGTTTATTAAAATCATAAGTAGACATGCTACACGGAGTAATGTTAATTAGTTGTGTGTCATTACTACCTAACTTGTCGAGGAATGAGAACATCAGGTTCAAGCTTAACTGGTGTCTAGTTCACATACAGTAACTTATATCCTGATAGTTAAGTTATATTTCAGTTTTCAGAGGAGTCTGAGAACTGATAGTTAAAGGAAGGACACTGGTAGGAGCTGAGGCTAGTAAAGTAAATCAGGGATGTAAATTAGTTCTTTTAAGCAATTGAGGAGACGTTTCTTTAGGATTTTAATGTGCAAATTAAATGCTTAGTAATTATCCAGAACTCACATAGAAAAAGATGCATCAAAATGGATCACCGCCCTCTGATTTGTAATCAAATAGTCGTGAGGTGCTAAGAGATTCTCGTCCCTAGTGCACAAACAGTATTCCCATTGAATTACTTTCAAATGTCCATTAATAAGTTTAGTGAAGCGGTCGTCTCCAGTTGTCCACTGCATCTTTTAGAGCCTGTCCATAGGCTCGCCATTCATATGTGACAACATCTGAGCCTCTTCTTACATCATGTTGGCAACAGGTCTTCTCTTGAGCGATTTTTCACCACCCGGAGAAGGAGTTTCCTTGATGTAATTATGTTGTGTTTTTGTGCTAAACTGCAAAATGTTCAAAATTCATACAGATTCATTCAGTTCATAAAGAAGAAGAAACAATTAAAAGTTGTTTTCCTGCCCAAAATGTGTGTCACTTAAAGCAAAAAATTACGTAAGTGATTATAACAATTGTTATAATGTCTTATGGACGCATTATATCGTGTTATAAATATAAGCATAAGTCATTATAGCAATGACCTTCATAGAAAAGTGTTACCAATATTTCTTGTAAATCTCAACTTAAACATTAATGTAATCAAATCAAATATAAAACCAAAGGTATTTGCCACTGCCAGGGCATTACCTTTTATCTAGCTTGTTAAAACAAGTTACCATCAGAGTCCAGTTTTCTTGGGTTTTTTTCTGAACAGGTATCAGCAGAAACATTTTTCTTTTACCAGGGAGCAGCATAAACAGTCTATGTTCAGTAGCAAGTGTCCCTGTTACAGAGAGGTGAAGTGGTCGAGCACAAGGTGTACCGGCAAGCGGCTGTGTTCCTGTGAAACTGTTGTCTTGAACTTTTTGTATGTGAAGTGCAGCACAAATTATTCGAAGAGAGACTGATCCTCATTGTTTGAGAGTTTCCAGAACCTATGATTGTTTATTAAATAGGACATCAACAGAGGGAAATCACATGGCAGAGCATCCCCGCAAAACTAGATGAAGGCCTATCAGGTGAAGTTATATAGCCTATGATTTTGAATGTAAAAGCAAAGGGCTCACTGCAGCCCCGGCTTATGAAGGACATCAAAACGTGGATGAACCTAAATTTCCTCAACCTAAACGTAGACAAGACAGAGATCATAGTGTTTGAACACCCTGAACTGCTTGATGTAGATTCTCTCGGCCCTTTGAGTTCAAATAACCGCTCAACTGTGAGGAGTCTTGGTGTTGTATTGGACAGTGCGTTTAAATTTGATAAACAGATATCCACCACTGTTAGATCCTGCTTTTTCCAGTTGAGAACTACAGTATAGCCAAAGTAAAGGTCTATCTCCCTCCTAAAGGTATAGAGAGGGTGATAAATGCCTTATAACTTCCCGCCTTGACTATTGCAACCCCTTATATGTGGGCTTAGACAAGTCATCTATTCAGCGCCTACAATTAGTCCAAAATACTGCTGCCTGCCTACTGACAGGAAAGAAGAAGAGGGACCACATCACACCTGTGTTGCGCTCCCTCCACTGGCTTCCTGTTCATTACAGGATTGATTTTAAAATCTTACTTTGAACTTTTAAATGCCTTAATGGATTGGCTCCATTATACTTAACGGAGCTTCTTCATACTCCAGCTAGAGTGCTGAGATCCGCCAATCTCCTCCTCCTGGATGGACCCAGAAGCAGACTTAAAACCAGAGGCGATCGAGCCTTTAATGTAGCTGCCCCTAACCTGTGGAACAACCTGCCAGTCCATATCAGAACCGCCCCAACTCACCAACGTTTTAAATCACTGTTAAAAACACATCTCTGTTCTTTGGCATTTCCTTTGAGTTAAGTCTGTTATCATTCCTGGCAATTTTAATATCACTATATATCGTATACTGTATATTATAATGTTTTATTGCTGTACTTTTACTGTGTAAGTAGTGTCTTGTTGTTGTATTTTAACCTGTGAAGCACCTTGGTCAACCTTGGTTGTTTTAAGTGTGCTACATAAATAAAATTGATATTGATATTTTAACTTAAATAGGCTACAGCTGTGTAGCACACAGACGCCATTGCCATGGTTACTCTCAATAGAGCGCTGGCCGTATACTCGCAGAGCAATGTCTTATTTACTTAATTACTGTGTTACTTCTCCCACACGCTGCAGTCTGCCGAAGCCTCGATCCTCCGCTGCTTGTTTTGGTGGGTGATTTGTATGGAGGTCATTTTGTTTCAATTCAAATTGTGGGAACAGATGAGCGATCCACGTGTAAATGGGTAATCTGTAAATATAAAACATTTTCCACAAACACAAAATGTGTTCAATCAATCTCAGTTCTTTACACACTGAGTTTTGAAACAAACATTCCGCCGGTGGAAAGAAAATCTAATGGTTTTTAGTGGAAAGCTTAATTTTGACCTGAAAATAGGAAGTTTGGGGAATTGGGTGAGAAGTTGTGGATTTGTGTTTAGAGTTTTGAGAAAAAGAGGCATCATTTCAAGAAATGTGTTTAATTAATCAGGAAAAACATAATAAAACAACAATAAAACATACTAATTAGCCTATAACATGCAAAACATGTTGAACACCAACTCAGTATAATTGGCACATTTATACTTTTTTTATCATTATCTTAACTTTTGGCCTATATAATAGTATATTGGAAACTAATTTAAAACACAAATTAGCCTGAATTTTCATTTCTACTCTACTCATCACATTATATTTCCCAAAAATAACTAACAATGCTGATTGTTTTTTTTTGTCAGTTATGTTTTACCTCTTCAGTTAAACTCACTCACCCTTGATGTGTATATGCTACTGTTTCTCTCGCAGTATACGAAATCAGGCAGAAAATGACAACATCACAAACCTGGCAGCAGGTGACCTTCTTTGGATCGGTTTGCACTGGGAACAACTGTGGTCTGATGGGAGCACCTTGCTGTTTCAATTTTGGGCCAGTGGGCAACCAGACAGCACAGAGCAGTGTGTCACCACATCATTCAGAAACTCAGGACTGTGGTCTGATGACAGCTGCTCCCTCACTTTCCCATTCATCTGTTACTCAACAAGTAATGCATCTTATTTACTCACGTACTGTGTAAAGATTCATTGTTGCATTAAGGCAAATATATCCTACATTTAAGATCAGTACCATACACCACACTGAATTTAGACTTGTTTAAAGTCTGTTAAAGCAGAAACAAGAATGTTCTTTACGTCTGTTGTTCTGCATAGACTAAAAGCTGTTCAGAAGATACAGCAGATAAACCTGTGGGAAACTAGTGATCATGTTGTAAACAGCACAGTATTTAAAAGTTAACATTCTTAATTTTACTGTTTAAACTGAGAAAGTATGCAGTAGATTAAAAATAATCAATCAACTGATTTACAAGTAGTGATGGTGTTGCATCAAACAGCTGATGAATTTTCAGTGTGTCTGTGTGACTGTGTAAAACTAAAATGTATTATTTCTAACGTCCTACTTCAAATCAAGTCCTGTATTGGCCAACACATTAAACTCCTTTATTTCCCCATAGTAATACAACTTAAAGAATTTGTATTCTTGATTTTTGTTCATTACATGTGTCTTATGAAACACACTCTGTGATGTGGTTAGGTGTAAAATGTGACACAGCATTCTTGATTAGACAAATGTGGGTCTTAATTAATTATATCTCTCATGGCCACCATTAGGTTTTATTAACAATGCAAGACAAAATGGAGCAACCTTAACATTCAGATGGAGCATGAATTATTTTTCACGCAAAGTTGTTTGTGGATAAATTCATTCCCTTCTCTTCTTCTGTCTCAGCTCCTCCAAAAACAGAAGACTTCAGATCAATAGGACAAAATGAGTCCAGTATCACTCTGCAGTGGAACAAAGTGAACAACAACTTCATCTTTATTCTCCAGTTTAATGATGCAGAGATCAACATCACTGCACCAGATGGAGATGGACCAGTAACTCACACAGTCTCATCTCTCACTGCTGCAACTGAATACACATTCACTCTCTTCTCTGTGTTTGAGGACGTCAGAAGCAGTGGAGTAAACATTACTGCAGTTACCGGTAATATGTCACTTTATTTCTATGCTCTGTATCTGCTTAGCGAGCCATCATCTGCTTTTCAGAGCACCAGTGTAAAACTAAGACGTATCTACTGGGTATAATATTCATTAAAGGAATGTGCTACTTAACAACATGCACTTTATTGCATGTTAATTTAACTCAGCATTGTTTTGGCCAACACTGTAAAATATTTTTTACATTAAGAATGATTTCTTTTTAAAACTTTTGGTACATTGTGATTCTTCATTTATCGTGGAGTACATCTCTGTTGGGATATAAAGTGTGATGGATATGACTACAGAATGTGACATCTGGATCCAGAAAAAAACATTCTTAGTAACACAAAGAATTGTTTCACTCGCTCTGTTCGTGATAATCAGTATTCATTTGTATTGATGTGGGGATACAAAATGAAACATCTTTAATTGTCAATGGGAACATTTTCACTTTTATGTACAGTTAGTTATTATATGTTTCACTGCTCTTTTTGTCTCAGCTCCTTCAAAAACTGAAAACTTCAGATCAATAGGACGAGATGAGACCAGTATCACTCTGCAGTGGAACAAAGTGAACAACAACATCAGCTTTATTCTCCAGTTTAATGGTGCAGAGATTGACATCACTGCACCAGATGGAGATGGACCAGTAACTTACACAGTCTCATCTCTCACTGCTGGAACTACATACACATTCACTCTCTTCTCTGTGTTTGAGAACGCCAGAAGCAGTGGAGTGAGCATTACTGCAGCTACTGGTAAGATGTTTGACTTCATTAATGTGTATTTAACCGGGAATAGCATTTTCATCCTGCAACTTGGGAAGCAACAGGACAGTTAATAGTACTAACCAAATAGTATTTTTTTCCCTGTGTAGTGAAGGGCGAGAACAGTCTCCCTACCCGGATTCAAACACGGGTCTACAGGGCACTAAGGAGGATTTTTCCATATTTACTTAGAACAACTGAAAAGCAATTAAAAGAAACATTACTATAGCAAATGAAAACCCTCGATTTGGTTTGGCCCACTGATGTCATCCATCCATGAAGAGCGAAGTAGGAAATGAGGTGGGCATCAGAGTAGTTATGGCAAGATGAAGCTTTATGAAGCAGTGAAGCTGTCTATCCAGCTGGTTCACTCATGGTGCTTCATTAGCTCTATTGTGCCATCAAGTGGACAATAAATGTAAAACAGGAACAGTGATGAAAATGACACCATGGCTTTGGTGTGTGAAGTTTTAAATTGAATAAATTAATGAATGATGTTTGTGATGCCAATGTATAGGGAAATTAGGTTTGGTCAGCTCAAAATGTTCCCAAACAGGGGAAAATCTCCTCTTTCTTGCTCGTTCCATCGAGGGATGGGTATCGCTACTGGATACCTTTATGGTATTGACCGAAACAGCCCAGTATCGAGAAGAATCAAAACGGTTCTAGTCAAACCAATACGTCAATCGATACTTTTTGTGACCAGATCGTCGAAAAAAATTAAGATTTGTATGGCACCGAAAGAAAGAGAAGAGCACATCTTTTTTCCCCTTTGTGTGCCTGCACCATAAATAAAAAAGGCCTGCACGCGTCGAGTCGATGCATGTTTTAACAGCCGCTCGCTTTCAGCTGCAGCATGTTCGTCGCTGTTGCAAGTTTATCACCACAAGCTTGGCTTTCCGTTGGTTTCATCTTCTGGTATCATTTAACACTTCTCACTTTCTGAAATTCACATCACTTGTCACTGATCAATCGCTACATTCCATTACAACAATTAAGGTTTACATGGTTTAATTTTCAAAAAACACCATATTTTTCTCATATTGCACATTGCTGCAGCTCCTCTTTTCACCCTGTGTGTTGTATGCTCCGCTCTGGAGCTACAGAGTGATGCATCTTACTTGTACAAAATCTTTGTTGGGAGTTGCACATGCGCAGTTCCCAGGTAAGGACTACTAGCCAATCAGAAGCAGAGAAGAGCGGGTCGTAAGAAACAAGGTAGTGTGATCCAAATCAAAGCCGCTTCAGACTGAGACCGTAACCTAGTATAAGTTACTCAAGTCCACAACCACACAACATCATTGTTCGACATCTTACCATAAACCACTACAAAAATCATCATATTTCAAATCAATTTTACATAAAAATTGGCTGAACAATTTGAACGTTTGCTCAGTAGTTTTCACATCAGGTGTAACATTAGCATTATAGTTATAACTTTAGCTGTGTTAGCCAACGTTTACAACAACTCTGCACTTGGAACAATTTGAAGTTACATTGCCGTGTTTATTTTAAATATAATTCACAACCAATAAAGCATACTTACAGGTTGTGATTGTGAATTTCCAGGCCCAAACAGAGTCGGAGTTGCATCGTCTTTTAGCACTAAACGTTGAACTGTTGCAGGTGTTCTGATGATCTATGCTGCCTTGCCGAAAAATACTACCATTACGCAAATCGTTAGACTGGACTCTACTCGGCCCTGCTCCGTTTTCCATTGCAGACAGTACCCAGAGACAGTACGTAGCTTGTCGTCATAGCGACACCACACACAACTGCCACAACGTAATGTTCAATGCGACCCACACAGCTTTCTCTTTTTTAAGTTAAAGCGTTTCAACATTCCTCAGAATGTAAAGACAGATAAGCGGTATGAAAACCTTCCAGCTGTGTTTTCTTCTGCAGTTGTTGCTGCAGCGGTCTGTGTGACGGCGGGAGCAGAGGGCTCTGTGAGCGGGCCGCTGGCCGGCCTCACACGCTCCTCCCGCGGGTTGGCACAGGCTTCCCCCATAATATGCTCCCAGATTTGTTTAGTATTACCTCTAGACTTATGAATAATTACAATAAAGAAAGTTTGCTTTAGCCTTTCTTAGTTCTCAAGTAACACTGCTGCATAACATTATAATTTTTTGTCTATTTGTCAATTTGCTATTTAAACTTCAGAAAATGTTTTAGTGCATGATTTCGCAAGTTCATCAGTTTCAGTAAGTCTGTACTCAACCAAGGTAGACAGTTCTTTTTATTATTATTCTTACCTTGGGGTATCTTAGTGAACGTTTGTGCTATACTCTGAATTGTGTTTATAAATCTCTCTCTGTCTTCCTCTACATTCCTCCCAGTTATAAATTCATTCCACTTTGTTTTGGTTATAGCCATTTGAAAATTCTCAAGTTCACTTTTAGGAATTCTAGGATGCTGAGAATGATATTTATTTGTCGTAAATCTATTATTTGTAAGCTTTCTTTTGAATAAAATGAGGTATGGTCAGTTAATCCAGTAATGGGATTATATGTTTTCTCAACTCTTTCTGGCCTGTTGGTGAAAATTAAATCAATTTGCGTCTGTGAGGATACAGTTATTCTGGTAGGACCTTTAAGTAGTTGTGTAAAATCCATATTATCTGTAATTCTTTTCAAAGAATTTCTATTTCTCTTGTCATCCCAATTTATGTTGAAATCACCTTAGAGAATATAGAGAATTACATTCTTTGAGTAACCTTTTAAATTCATCATAGAAAGTATTGTTGGATGATATAGTAAAACCAGAACAAAAGACATTTGAGAAGAGAGAGTGATAGTTAGTCCAATATATTCCAGATTAACATTAGATAGTTGAATCTGGCTGGAGTGAATATTATTCTTCAGGTAAACCATGACTCCACCACTTCTTCCCTTAACTCTATCCCATCTAAATAAATTATATCTGGGTATATTCAAGGCTGCCGATGGTGAGTTTTTATGTAACCATGTATCTGAAAGACACATAAAGTCTAGATTGGAGTCACATAGCAAATGTGTACAACTTGGTCAGTTGTAGAAATTACACTACAGATATTCAAACGCCCTCCTAATAGTCCCCTGTTTTTTGGGGGGGGATCCCAGATGACTCTAGAATTATTAACAATTTTTAAAAGTTTAAATCTGCAATGTTTTTTAAAGACGGGGTTTACAGGAGTAGGTCCATGGATGTCTTTACAGTTACTAAGTGTGTTTCCTGGGTGGATTTGTTCTCCACGGGTGCAAGCTCTCCGTTTAGAGTTTGATGAACAGCCATTACTTACATTTTGTGTGTTAGAGTACTAACACCTCGCCTAATTCAACACACTTGAAAGCAGAGATTTAGTACTTGGACGGAGCAGCACTGCTGGCCTATGTGTGCCTGGTGCTACAGGTAAACCAGCACTTGTAGGACAGATATCTGGATCCTTATTCACCGCCATGCCCGTTGCGCTCACCAGCAGACACCCATTGCTCTCACCGTTTACTGCAGCCACCGTGCACCATTGTTTATCCTCATCTGTAGCAGCAGCCACCATGTGTTCCCGACTCTCTCCCTCCGTTGCAGCCGCCACACGTTCCCAACCTCCACTACTTGCCGCAAGATGCACGACAACGCATGAGACATCCACCAGGCTGGGTGTCGAATCCTCTGTGTCCAGACAACAGAAGCGGGCAGGGACACTGTGCCTCCGAACCACAGGCCCACCAGCGAGGTCTCTGCATTACTCAACTCGTTGAACTTGGACATCAGATGCGGTTGTTAGCCCAGGCTGGTTTACAGTAGGCCACGTTGCTCTGTCCACAAAGTTTGAATTTGGACCGGCGCACTGATGAACATCACCAGAGAGGAGCAGACAGAGTGTAATGATAAAATGGTTGCTTGTGTGGTATTTGGCTTGGTAAGGTTGTTGAGTCTCATGTTGGCATGAGTAGATGAATGCATTAATCACAGCATTTTTTCCGTAAAACCTAATACCTTGATTGTAGTTTAAAATGATAGATGTAGAGAAGTCGATCTTGTCACAGATATAATTTATATAAAGAGGCGGACCTGTGTCTAAAAACATTAAAATAAAACTAGGCTAAAAACGCAACCAGCGCAACTGACATGCCTGCTGCCATCTTAAGAATCTTACTCGCGAACCGAATGTGAAGAAGAATAGGAGCAAGTAAAGTGCCTGCACTCTGTGGGAAATCACCAGTCAGCACAATGACCGAGAAGAATAAAAGAAAAAGAACTGGATAAGATCAGAGCGGAAGAGGGTCATTCACTGAAGCCACCAAGAGTATGGAAAGAAAGAAGGAGCAAAAGGATCAGAAAAGGAATGGAGACAATCAGCATGTGATCTGTATGGACAAGAAGTGATATTTGGCATGCATTGCCATGATAGTCAACTGTGCTGTGGAAATAAAAGTAGGCTAAATCACAGAGGATTAATATGGTGTTGGATGCTGCAAGCAGATTCTTTGACATTGTGGGTATATCAGGAGCGGAGATAGACATTACACAGAGGGAAGGATTTGAAAAAATTACTCTCCAGACATAGTATGGACAGTTTTTGAAGTCTCTGGGTGGACACTACTTCGTTGTTTTTGCACTGGGAGACTGTTTCATCCAGTAGGTGGCAGTATGCATCTTTAAAAGTCATGGTTACAATCAGCTTTCGCTGACTTGATAGTCTAACGTGAGGTGCAGGTTTAAAGACATCCAATATATTACATTACATTAGCTGCTATCATTATATTTGTTTATTTATTTGTCCTGTTTGTTTCTCATGTACTTGTTTTGTTTTATTATAACCTGTACTCCCTGTTTTGTTGTCTGTCAAGTACTATTGGATTGATAAAGCTATCGGGGGAAAAAAGACTCGGCGCCTTCAGCTGCCTTGCTCTCGCAAGGTTTATGTTAATGTTCTACATTAAGAGAACACTGTTTCTACATTAAGAGAACACTGTTTATCAAATAAAGGAGTTAAATTGTGGAATAGTTGCTGTAATGAGTTAAAACAAGCCACGTCTATTTTTCAGTTTAAAAATATCTACAAGAGAATAACATTGGAAAAATATTTATTAGAATGAACATTAATTAAATAGGCTTGTTTCTGATGTGGACAATGGTCCACTAATGTGTTACTGTTAATTTTATGAACAGATGTTGTCATTAATGAGTTGCATTTATGATTCTAAAGTTAAGGGTAGGCACAATAAGCTTAGCTTCTGCCTGCACCTGGTCATCTATAGTGTTTATGTTTTGAATGATTTGATTGAATGATCTGTAAATGACCAAACCGAAAATAAATGAAATGAAAATGAAAATGAAATGTCATGTGACATGGTGACGTTTTACAGCGCCGGTGAAAGTTGGACACAATTTTTAACCAGCGTGCCTTGTGCCTAGTCTAGCATGCATCACGTTTAATGCGCAGCGCTGCTCTGCGCATTAAAGCGCTGACTTATGGTGATGCATGCTGGAACCACAGTATTGCCTGGTCTTGCGTCATTTTTCTTGGCAAATGTTTGTGTTTGTGTTTGTGTGTTTGCATTATGTTACAGTCTAGATTATAGTAAGTAAGTAAAATAATATTGTGTAATATGGAAAATGACCTGTATGGCACAAGTGGTGAGCACCACTTTGTCACACCTTGTGACATTTAAACATTTTTCTTATTCCTTGTTCATGTAATTAAGTTAACTTCCTGTTGACTTTGTTTCTTGTTTTCAGTACATCTTCCTAAAACATCTCTGACTCAGTACTGCATATACTGTGTGTATTTCTGCGAAAGACAAAGATAGAAGATAAAGAGTCCAACTTATGAGACAAAAAATGTCAGTGGTTGAACTGGTACTTTTTTATTATTGTCAGTGTGAAACAGTGAACACCAATTTATTGAGGCAGGGTGAAACTTGATCTGACAAGCTGACAAGCTGATAGACAAAGTGTTAAGGCACTAAACAAAAAATCCAGCATGCCATAGAGCACTACTTGTTTCCATGCTCTGGGGTCATGATACAGTGTACTCGGCTAGCATACAAAAATCCCATCATGAGAAAAAGGTTTTGTAAAATCCCACAGTACAGCTGAATCCACCTGATGCACAGTGCATCTTCATGTTCACTGTAAAACATGCTTTATAAAAAAGTAAGTAATAAAAAACTGAATATGCTTTGTTTTAGGAACCCGTCAGTTTTACTTTGAGGCTACGCCACTGAACTGGACTGAAGCTCAGAGCTTCTGCAGACGGGTCTACACTGACCTGGCCACCATAAGAACCCCAATTGACGCCAATGCTGTATTCAGGACCACAAGGAGCTACAGAGGCAAGTATTGGAAACATATACAGACCATAAACATAAGGTATATAATCATATACATTCACAACAGCTTATTTTGATTAGATGAAAGTTAAAATATATTATGGAATGTAAAAGAACAACAAAGACCCTTTGCGAAAAATAGCGGAGACACATAATTTAAGGGATTTTCAGTTTATTCATCTACATTTTAAGTCAATTCAGCAACAATTTTAATTCCAGCTGTTATATAATGAACATCTGTTTGAACAGGCAAGGCTTGGATAGGTCTCTATGGTGACAGATGGAGATGGTCCCTGAGTAACAACAGCTTCTATGGTGAAGGAGAGACAGGTTCAGAAACTGGGCCCCTGGATATCCCTACAATCCTTACGGACAACAGAACTGTGTGGTGCTTCAAAGCTTTTACAGTTACTATTACTATTACTATTACTATTACTATTACAATTACTATTACTACTCTTTCTTGGATTACAATGGAAAGTGGTCGCACGTTCATTGCAACAACCAACAAAGATTTGTGTGCTACAACGGTGAGTTTTTTATAGCATAAATATAACCAAGAAGCTAAATGGAATTTCTGCATAGCACATTGTTAATAACTTCTCTTCATCAATATATTTCCAGGTTCAGTAAATGGCAAATCATCCTTTGTAAAAGTCGACAAATATTTGAATTGGACCGCAGCTCAGAGCTACTGCAAGGAGAATTACGTCGATCTAGCCAGGTACAGTGTGCACTGATAAAGACTCCAACACATACAATAGTTCAGTACTGAAGCAACGTCTCGGGTTACGTATGTAACCCTGGTTCCCCGAGAAGGGGAACGAGAGACTGCGTCGGTTACGACACTATGGGAACGCCTCTAGGCGAAGCAGGTCTGAACGTGAATGAAATCACTCCAATCCTATTGGCCTGTTGCTAGAACGGTAAGGTGTGACGGAATAACCGGAGGAGTATAAAGCACACCTGTACACACTCATCATTAGCTTAAACTATGAAGCAGGCGCTTCAGGCGGGAGAGAGGTGCGGCGGGCCGACGCAGTCTCTCGTTCCCCTTCTCGGGGAACCAGGGTTACATACGTAACCCGAGACGTTCCCCTTCGAGGGAACTCGAACTGCGTCGGTTACGACACTATGGGAACGAGATACCCACTAAACCGTGCCGAAAACCCCGCCTGCCCCTGTGTGCAATAAAGTGGCACTACTAAGAGGAGAGCGCACGAGTGCCAGGTGCCGAAGGAAGGTCAAGACTGTAAAACCGAATGAATGTGTGCGGAGTGGCATAGCCAGCCGCTAAACAACATCCTGCAAGAGGCCCCGGAAAGGAGGGCTCGAGAGGCCGCCTTGCCTCTGGTAGAATGAGCCCTCACAGCCACAGGTGAAGGCAAACCGCGCACCTGATAGGCCAGGGAAATAGTCTGAACAATCCAGTTGCTAATAGTATGTTTGGATGCAGGGAGCCCGGCCCTGGGAGACCCAAAACACACTAGCAGCTGGTCAGCCTTCCTCCAACGGGAGGACCTCAGAGTGTAAATACTCAGTGCTCTGACAGGGCAGAGCAGATGAAGTCTCCCGTCCTCCGCCGTCACATGAGGTGGAGGATGAAATGCCTGCAGCACTGTGGACCCTGCCGCACAAGAAGGCACTTTAGGGATGTATCCTGAATGAGGGTGCAGGATAGCCCTAATATTCCCGGGGCAAACTCCAGGCTTTGCGGGGAAACCGAAAGCGCTTGGAGCTCCCCCACTCCTTAGAGAGGTGATAGCAAGGAGAAAGGCCATCTTGAGGGTCAAGTGCTTAGCCTCAGCTGACTCCAGGGGTTTGAAGGGGGCCTCAGCCAACGCCCCAAGAACCACTGCCAGATCCCAAGTGGGAACCTTGGACCGAGTCGCAGGTCTCATCCTCCGGGCACCACGGAGGAAAAGTACAACCAAGGGAAGTTTCCCCAAGAACCCCTCCCTCAGAGGGTGTGGAAAGATGAAATAGCTGCCACGTACACCTTGAGGGTGGAAGGGGAAAGACCAGCAGAGAACCGGTCCTGGAGGAACTCAAGTACCTGAACCACCGGGCAGGTAACAGGGTCCACCGACCGCTCCCTACACCAAGTGGAGAAAACACTCCACTTCAGGCCGTACATCCTCCGTGTGGATGGGGCCCTGGAGCTCAGGAGGGTCTCGACTGCTCCGGCTGTTAGACCCGCCTCTAGGTACTGTGCCCCCTCAGGGGCCAGACCCACAGTCGCCATATGGCGGGGCAAGGGTGAAGAACCCAGCCCTGCGCCTGGGACAGCAGGTCTCTCCTCAGAGGGACCCGCCACGGCGGGCCGTCCAGGAGCGACATGATGTCCGAGAACCACACCCGGGTTGGCCAGAACGGGGCTACGAGCAGTAGGCCGACATAGTCCTGGCGGACCCGCTCCAGAACCCCGGGAGCAGAGCGACTGGGGGAAAAGCGTACAGACGTAGCCTCGGCCACGAATGTACCATGGCGTCCAGACCCAACGGGGCTGGAGGAACGAGAGAAACCATAGCGGGCAGTGCGTAGTCTCTTGAGACGCAAACAGATCCACGTCTATGGGGCCGAACTCTTCGCACAAGAGCTCCACCACTTCGGGGTGAAGTCTCCATTCCCCGGGCCTCAGCCCCTGCCTCAACAGCAGGTCTGCTCCCTGATTCTGTGTCCCCAGGAAATACATCGCCCTGAGCGATAGTAACCTCTGCTGGGACCACAGGAGGATCTGACGCGCCAGTCTGTCCAGAGGGCGCGAGCGCAGACCGCCCTGGTGATTCAGATAGGCCACCACCGCTGTGTTGTTCTACTCAGAACGAACCAGGACGTGGTGGCCTTGGAGATCGGGCAGGAAACTCCTTAGAGCCTGGAACACCGCCAACATCTCGAGACAGTTGATATGCCACTCGGATCGATGCACCTGCCAGGATCCCCTTGCAAAGCGGCCATCCATGACCGCGCCCCAGCCCGTGAGGGAGGCGTCTGTCGAAAGAACCAGCCGGCGACAAGACCCTCCCAGCACGGGCCCCTGGGACAGGAACCAAGTTTCCTTCCAAACTGATAGGGAACGAAGACACTTGCGCGTAACCCAAACCAGACGGAGAGGATTCCCCGGGGAAAAACCCTTGTTCCTTAGCCACCACTGCAGGGGTCTCATGTGCAGCAGTCCAGATGGTATTACGCTGGACGCAGCCGCCAGGAGACCCAACACTCGTTGAAAGTGTTTCATAGTGATGGCGTGGCCTAACTTCACCCCTTTCACGGCAGCCAATATGGTGTCGACACGTGCCGGAGACAATTGTGCCCGCATCGTTGTCGAATCCCATGCAACCCCTAGGAACGTAGCCCGTTGGGTGGGCGCCAGCACGCTCTTCTTTGCGTTGAGCCTCAGCCCTAAACGCCGCAGACGAGCCAGAACGACATCTCGATGCCGAACCGCCAACTCTCGAGACTGGGCTAGGATGAGCCAGTCGTCGATGAAGTTGAAATCCGGATGCCCCGGAGCCTCAGCGGGGCCAGTGCTGCATCCATACACTTGGTGAATGTGCTAGGGGAAGTGCCAGGCCGAATGGAAGAACCCGATACTGGTAAGCCACACCCCCGAAGGCAAACCTCAGGAACTTCCTGTGAGAAGGACGGATGGAGACCTAGAAATAGGCGTCCTTTAGATCTATCGTGACGAACCAATCCTCAGATTGGATGTGCGTCACGGTGGCGGGGATGATGAGCATCTTTAACCTGAATCTCCTCAGAGACCGGTTAGAACCCGCAGATCCAAAATAGGGCACGCAGCCCTCCGTCCTTCTTGGGGACTATGAAGTCTCTGTCTGGGGGGGAGACACGTTCCACGGCCCCTTTCCTCAGCAGAGTACAAACTTCCTGTCCCAACACCGGACCTTGCTCCGGGCGGACCACAGTCCAAACCACCCCCTCTCTTCTGTTGAATTTGGAGGGCGGGCTTTGAACTGTAGTCGATACCCATCTATGGCAGTGCGCAGGACCCGCGGAGAAATGTTCGTCAGGCTCCGCCAAGCGTCTGCAAAGTCTGCCAACGGAACCAGCCCCTCGGGCTGGTGGTCGGTGTCTCGTGTGATCTTCTGGTGGACCCCTGAAGCCCCAGAACGGCAGGGGGGAGCCGCCGAAGATCCACGGTGAGTGAGTCGGGATGCCGTCCGTCTGCAGACCCTCGGGGCAGGCAGTACGGTGCGGACTCGATGGTGGCAGGTGCGTCCTGAACGTGTAAACGGCGGGATAACATCACCTGTTGCCACGGCGGAGGGGACCTCGGTCGGCCTCCGGGGGGGTGGGGGGGGTGCGGGAGGGGAGAAAGACTCCCCTACCCCGGTCTTCCCTGAGCTCCGTCGGGACTGGATGACGGTCCTCAGATCGCGTCTCTCAGACGGCTGAGGGTGAGAGCGCCGTCTCGCTGCCCCAGCTCCTCGGGGGGCCCCCGAGAAGCGACACTCTGCTTCCCTCCTCTCCGTAGGAGCTCGTAGAGGGAAGGGACCTACGCCTGGCAGCCTCAGCTGCCTTGGGTCCAGACCGGCGAGGGAGGTACTGGCGGAACGCTTCGCACTGCGTCTAACGCTTCGTGGTTCTGCGAAGCTCCGCCAGATCTTCCTCGGAGGGACCCCCCCTCTGAACCATCTCCTGTAGCAGGTTGGCTTGGTAGGCTTGAAGCACCGTGGTGTGCAAGCTCGCACCTGCCTGGCCCGCTGGCATGTACGCCTTCCCCACAAGCGTGGATGTGGTGCGACATGGTTTGGATGGTAACGCCGGCTTCTCCAGGGAGGACGCAAGTCGAGGGGAGAGATAGCTCGCAAGCTCATCCTCCACCCGAGGCATCCTCCCATAACCACGGTCCCTAACCCCCATCACATTACTGTAGTTCAGTGATCGGGGTGTGGAAAGCCATGTAGAGAAGGGTCTGCCCCATGATTTACTCAGTTCATCATGTAAATCAGGAAGAGATCGGCGTGGAGGTGGTGCGTGGT